CCCCCCCCCCAGTCTCCCGAGTACTGGGATTAAAAGTGTCATTCGCCCTGCCTTCCATGTCTTTTTGCGTTTGTTTCTATCAATAAGTTATTTTAACGATGCACATACAATGACTTCTTGAAAGTATCTATTGAGCTGCATATTGCGTTGCACACCTGAGATTCTATCATGTAGGAGGTAGAGCCAGGACGATTATTGCAAGTTAGAGCTTAGCTGGTTCTACAAAGTGAGTTTCAGGCCAACTAGGAATGCATAGTGAGGCCCTACCTCAAACAAAAATCATAGAGGAAAATAGAGAGAGAAGGATTTACTGGGTTTTTACTCTATGCTGCAAACCAAGGGCTTTATACAAAGTGATTTGTTCAATAGTATAATGGTAGTAGGGAAGAGGGAAGAACCTAAATTTTTAGGCATTTCACATTAAAGTTACATAAAACAGTAAATAAAGCTAAATAGCATAGATTTCTAATCACAACAAGACTATAAAACATTTAAATTGTCCAAGTAAGTTTTGAGACAGTATTGTACTGTCGCTGGGCTACACTATTGTAGCCTAGAATTTGTTACATGACCAGGCTGGCCTCCAAGATCTGCTTGCCTCTGCCTTCTGAGTACTGTAATTAAAAGCATGTACTTAGTAACAGGTATTTTTTTTCTATCTATCTATCTATCTATCTATCTATCTATCTATCTATCTATCTATCTGTAACCCTGGCTGTCCTAGAACTCTTAGGATGTCCTCAAACTTACAAAGATCCACCTGCCTCTGGCTCCTGAGTATTGAGATGAAAGATGTACACCACCACCTAGCAGAGGCATATTTTTTTTTTAGATTAATTAACTTCTGAGACAATAACCCAGGCTGTTAAGTGTTACAGCTCTGAGGGGAAAGACATTTTGCAGTGAGAGTGTTCCAGCTCTGAAGGGAATGGCTTCCCCAGTGGACATGTTATAGCTCTGAGGGGAAAAGGTTCCCCAATGGAGGTGTCACAGTTCTGCTCTGAGGGGGAGGTTTCCGTAACGAAAGGGTTGCAGCTCTGAAGGGAAAGGTATCTTGGACGTTGGGAGCCAAGGAACACCACAAAGTCAAAACAAAACACCACAAAAGAAACCTCACACAAGAAATTTATTGGGGAAGACACGAGTGGGCGGGTGCCTCTACTGGGGCAAGAAACAGCAGGAACTGGTTTTCCAGGGTGGAGACTTCCACGGTGAGGATTGGTGAGATTCCAAGCCAAGACCAGGGATTGGTGGGATTTTGAGCTCAGGGATTGATGGATTTTTTCATGCTCAGGAATGCGTGAGTTTGGGTAGGTTTTTTTAAACCCAGAAGTGGGCTCAGACCTTTCACTCTACACAGGCAGACTTGAAGTTTTAGCCCTTCTGCCTCAGTTTCCTAAGTGCGGAGACTGAAAACCTATGTCACTATACCTGGCAGTCTTCATGAATACATTTTTAATGCAATAATTTTAAAGGTTTTGTTTGTTTGGTTATGAGTCAGAGTCTCACTAGCTAGCCTTGGCTGGCCCAGAGCGCATGTAGACCAAGGTGGCCTATAACTCACAGAGATATGCTTACCTCTGCCTGAGTGCTGGATTGAAGGCGAGCATGCACCACCATGACCAAAGTTTTGAAATATAAATTATACACACAGCCTGGTGTGGTTGCTCATGCCTTTAATCCCAGCAGTCTGGAGGCAGAGGCAGGTGGATCTCTGAGAGTTCGTGGCCAGCCTGGTCTATAAAGCAAGTCCAGGACAGTTAGGACTATACAGAGAAACCCTGCCTCAACAAACAAAAATAAAAAAAAAATTAATATATGCATATAGACTTCAACATACGAATTCAATCTTTTAATTAATTCCTAACTAATTTTAATACCCTAGCAATGTTTTTAAAACTTAAACAGAAAAATTAGGGGAAGAAAGATTAGTTTACTTTTTTTTTTTTTTTCTTTTTTTAGTTTTTTGAGACAGAGTTTCTTTGTGTAGCTTTAGCTGTCCTGGACTTGTTTTGTAGACCAGGTTGGCCTTTGAATTCACAGAGATCCTCCTGCCTCCGCCTCCCTGAGTGCCAGGCTTACAGGTATGCACCAATGGGCCAGGACATCGAGGTTATCTTTATTATAAGCACTTGTTTCTTCAGAAATGCTCTTTTTTTGACAAGTATTTGCTTAATTATATCATCAAAATGAACTTTGAGAAGCCTCTGTTTTTTTGCTTGATCTTAGTTGAAATATTGAAACAAATGTAACTTAAAAAATTGCCAGCTCAGTATCACTATTCCTATTTTAAGGAACTTTCACTAGGTTGTTTGTCATCGGAGCTGAGCTGCTTTCACCTAAACAGAGAAGTTGGCATGTGTGCCTAGCAACAGCAGCTAAAACCTTCTGTTGTGGAAAGTTCCCTAGGAGTGAGACGGGAGAAGCAGGATAAATAGATTAATCTGCTTTTCCTAGCAGGGGACAGAGGGCTGGTTGTGTGAGGAGAAAAAGGCTTTCCAAGAGATAGTGTTTAGATTAGCACATGCTGGCCTAAACCCTATGGCTGCTGGAAATTAGGTCTGGGCTTACTGCAAGAGTGGGGCTCTTATCTAGGTGTATGTGCCCAGGTGTTCAGCAGATGAGTGAACAGAGGGACAACAGTACAGAACCTTCTATGTGTTTACTTATACATTAGAATAATTAGGTTTAATTTACAAGTTGGACACAGCTAACTAATGATAAATAGAACAATTATATCAGATTAGAGAAATTCATCGAGAACTCATGAATTATTTCTGGAATGCTTCACTTAATATCTTTGGTTTACAGCTGTTCAGGGATAACTGAAATCAGACAAATTTCAGATAAGTAGGGACTACTGTTTAGTAGTTTAAAGAGGTTACAGATTTAGCTCACTTCAAAGTAGCAAACACAGTCAATAAGACACCAGTAAGTCTAAAAAGAAGCTAAAATCTTAGCACCATGAAGTTATAATCTACAAAGAACTCTTCCTGTTTAGGAAAATGTGTGAAATTTTAGAGATAATATAAAACCCCCCTGAGCTGGATGTGCCTGCTCACACCTATTATCCCGATCCCGAAGTTAAGAGGTGGGAAGACTTGGCCTGGCCTTGGTGGCACAGGCTTTGATCCCAGCACTTGGGAGGCAGAGGCAGTAGACCTCTGAATTTGAGGCCAGCCTGGTCTACAGAGTGAATTCCAGGACAGCCAAAGCTACACACAGAAAAAAAATCTTTCTCGAAAAGTAAAAAACAAAAAACAGAAACAAACAAACACACAAAAAACTGTGGGAGGCCAGACCCACGGCTACATTGTGTGTTCCAGGCCAGCCCCCGCTACAGTGTAGAGCCTGTCTCAAGAACCAAAACCTAGCCAGGCATGATGGCATACTCCTATAATCTCAGCTCCTAGGAGGTGGAAGATAAGAACTTCTAGGGCAGCATGGGCTCCAGGATACCTTGTTATTAAAAACAAAACAAACCCAAACCAAACCACCAAACAAAAAACCCAGTACAACCACAACAAAACCAACAACTTCCCAGTAATTGTTTATTGAGTGAGAGAAAGAAGTGCTTCTACATTTTCATTTAAATAGATGTTAGTGAGTTTACAGTGAGTGCTGGAGCACTCGCCTTTAATCCCTGTACTCAAGAGGCAGAGGCAGAGGTAGGTGGATCTCTGTGAGTTCACAGACAGACTGGTCTACAGAGCAAGTTCCAGGACAGCCAAGGCTACATACTAGAGAGACCCTGTCTCAAAAGCAAATAAAACAAAAAAGGAAGAACAGAACAACCAATTCTATGCTTTTGTAGCTAAAGCCAGAAGCAAAAAGCACAGTATCTGAGTGGGGGGTATTAAAATGCTATTGATCTGAGGACAGCTTTTTTGTTTTTGTTTTGATTTTGGAGGGGGAAGGAGGTGGTGTGGTTCGAGACATTGTTTCTTTGTGTAACAAGCTCTGGCTGTCCTGGACTCGATTGTAGACCAGGCTGGCTTTGAACTCACAGAGATTCACCTGCCCCTGCCTCCTGAATGCTGAGATCAAAGGTGTGTGCCACCAGCCTGGCTCTGAGGAGAGATGTGAAATGCATTCATACTGCTTGGTATTAGAATTCCATTTATTTCAGTTCTCCAGAGCAACTTGAGGGGCTGAACCGAATTCTGTCAAAGATGTGTCCATTTTCCCAAACTAAACCAGCATCTTTATTCCAGTAGGAGTCAAAAACATCTGCAGAAAAGCCCGAAGTTAGGAGTTCTTTGCTCCAAATCTTTTTCCGTCCTTTCGGTACTTTTTTTGGTACAGAGTACCTCACTGTTCTTACAGCTCCTAAGACATTTTGGAGAAGTCCGGCACATGCCTTGGATGCGGAGGCTGGACACACGCGTGGACACGCACCCCGCCCCAAACACACACACACACCATAGGGTACAGGGAGGGGTAAGATGCAAAAAAGATGAAAGAGTACAGCAGGGGGTCTAGAGCCTAAACACATACACACACACATACTCTGGGCTGGGGAGAGGTGGGATGCAGGTTGGCACGCCTTTAATCCCAACACGCGGAAGGCAGTGGCAGTCACACTTCTGAGTTCGGGGCCCTGGTCTACTAGTCCAGACCTGAGAAACCGACCAGCTCAGAGCAGCGCGAGACTCGGTAGGGGCGAGCGTACGCACATCGACTGACTTCTCGCCTGCCGGGACCGAAGGCACCGTGGCCACGGGCCGGCGGGCGGCCGCGGAGGAGGTGAGACCAGTTTCTCCGCTCGGGACGCGACTGCGCTCGGGACCTGGGCGGGGCGCGTCGCCCGCTCCGAGGCTGGGCGTTGGGGCCAGTGACTCAGAGCTTTCCTCCGGGCCCCGCCCTCCAACGGCCCCGCCCCGCCGCGCTAGCCACGCCCTTTGCTCCGTTGGCCCCACCCCATGAGGAGGAGCCTCGCCCTCGTCTCCGCCCCAGTCTCGGGGCGGGCCGGAGTCTGAGGAAGAGGAAGGGGACGAGGACAACGAGCGACGGGCGGCGGAGGACGCGGAGGAGGAAGGGGAGGCCGACCAACAAGATGGCCCCTGCTGCAGGAGCAGCCTCAGCAGCAGCAGGTGGGGGGCTGGAGGCGGCGCTGGCGGTGGCGGCGACGGCCGTGGTCCGGCGGCCTGGGACAGAGTCAGAGTCGATGGTGGCAGCGGCGGCGACGGCGGCTGCCGCGACGGTGGCGACGGCCGCAGGGACTCGGAGCTGAGAGGAGCTGCTGCTCGGACCAGCGCGGTGAGAAAGTGGAGGGCGGCGGTGCGGGGAGCGGAGCGGCCGCGGCCGAGAACAATAGGCAGCGGCGGCGAGGATGGGGCTGTCCTCACCCGCCCTGCGCTCGGGACCGGCCCCGGGGCTTGTCAGTGGCCGGCGTCCTTTAGGCCTTAGGCCTCCGCGTGCCGCCCGGAGGGCCTGCCGGGGTAGGTAGGCCGAGGGGCTGTGCGGACGCCGCCCTGGACGCGGGGAAGGCTGGGGAGGCTGAGGCGGGATGAGGTCCGAGCCTGGCCGGTTCCGCGGTTCCTCGGAGGACGGCGAGCAGGCGGAGAGTTGCTCGCAGGAAATGTTTAGACCCCTGTCTGCGCGGTGGGGGGAGGGAGAAGGCGCCTGTAAACAGCCGTCGCTCTTGCCTAGCTGCCAGGCGTGGCTGCTCCCTCCCCAGCCCCTTTCCTCCTTTTGGCCAAGTGGGTTTTAGGGTGTCGGTTTCCCTGGAGTTCTTGGAGATAAACCCTATTGGCCAAGATGAAACCATGTGCAGGTGCCGTTTTCAAAAAGACCTAAGTGGCACAACAACAACAAATAACACAAAATGTGGTTGTTGGTAAAGGATGGAGTGGTAAGGGGTGGACCTTTCCTACCATCATTCTAAACATCAGGTCTTTGTAAACATTACTGTGTTCACATCCGTGGTGAGAGTGAACAAGGGCTCTCTTGAAGCAGCAATAATATAACTCTTGACATCCCAGAATAGTCTGTGAAACTGGAAACAAAGCCACTTACTGGCAACGCAGAGACAGATTGTTAAGGTTTGAGCAGAACTTTTCCAACTAGCCATTTTGAATTGTGTAAGACATAGGAAATAACCTTTCTGGTAAAGTGTGTTTCTTCTAGAAGCATTTACTCAGGAGAGGGAAGTGGTTCATCTGTCCCCTAGGATTTCTTGTATCTGTCTCATGTTCTAATATTACTTTTCTCCAAATTGCCCTAAAATTGGAGAAGAACCCCCCCCCTTTTTTTTTCCTGTTTGAAATTTCATGTTTAAAACCTACTTTCTAAGATTTCAGAAACTTTGGCTTTGTGATGCATGCCAGTGAATCCTAGCACTCCGGAGGCTGAGACAGAAGGATCCTGAGTTCAAGGCTGACGAGGTCAGCCTTAAAAAAACAAAACAAAACAAAACAAAAAAAAAACCCAACTCAACTAACCACAACACTAAAACAATAGAAACTTTTACTGATAATTTTCAAAAACAAGGAACAGTTGTGACTCTGTTTTAAGTAGCTAGGGCTTAGGATGAGAACAGCCCTCCTTCTATATTAGTATATTATACTGCAGTAATATCTTAAAAAGTTAACTGTTTTTCCTAATGTAATTTTTCAAGGCATTTACCACGTACATTTTCAAGTGAAGGGGAAAGAGGTGAATTATATTCCAGTTTCTACCTGTGTATACAGAAAGTTGGATTAAAAACCTTGAATGCATTCGAAAAGACTGCTTAATATTCACTTGTAGGATCTATCTAGGACCTTTGTATTTTTTCCTTTCCTTTCCTTTCCTTTTATTGTTTTGGAGAAAGGGTCTTGCTGTAAGCTCAGGCTGGGCAGGAATTAACAATCTTCCTGTCTTAGCATCCTGAAGGCTGGGCTGAGTTCATGTTCTTAAAAGGAAAGTTGACTTGTACGAAAAAGATTGGTGGGTAGCTTTTGCCAATTTCTAGGGTAAATTTCTAATTACAATTTATCTCTGGCTTGCTCTCTTACCCTCCTCTCTGCCGTCTCCCTTTTTTCTGTCAGGGTGCCCTCTCCCCCCACCATGTCTCTCTTCTTCCCTCTCTCTCTCTACCTTCATCCAATGAATATCTTTCATATAAAAACTTATCTCTGGCCATGTTAAAAGTATTGTTCAGTAATATGAAAATAATTAGCAATACTAGACTCTAGTTCTATTGCAGGAATTGATGGTGCATAATTATATAAAACATGTAAACATCTGTTTAGGATTTGGAGTACAGTAGTAGTAGATTATCTGTAAACTTATTTTATGCCTAGCACAGTATTGTCATGGATGCTTTGATCTTTTGAATCTCGTAGAAACAATATCTGTATTACAAGGTTTCTGCTAGTGTGACTTGGCGGGGGTGGCTGAGGATTTCAGAACATTTTCTTTTTGTTGTTTTGTTTGTTTTCCTATTGAATTTTATTAGGTACAGATAGAGTATTATGTGTATTGTAATGATATTTAAATTCATTTGTGGCCCTAAATATATTACAACAACTACATAATACTAATTTATGAGTTTGTAAACTTTAAGTTATGAGAAAAACCTCGTTTCATCAAGGACTTGTTAATCTCATTTGATACAAATTTTCTGAAAACAGAGGCCTTCAACTAGGGAACCAGCGAGAGATGGCTCTGTGGGCAAGAGTGGTTACTGTGCAGTTGTGAGGACTTAAGTTCAAACCCTCAGCACTCATGTGGAAAAACAGGGTGTGGCTGTGCATGCCTGTCATTTCAGTGTTATGGTGGGGAAGAGACAGGAAGATCACTGGCATTTTGCTGGCTACCAACCTAGCTCCAGGTTTCGGGGAGAGACCCTGTCTCGAATAAGGCATAGGGGGACAGAGCAGGACACCCAGAGACCTTCTGTGGCTTCCCGATGAGCACATAGATGTGTGTATCTGCATATAGATACACACACACTAGAAAAAAAATTTTTTTTCGGGGTGGGCTGTCTGAGATGGGTTCTTTGTGTAGCTTCGGTTGTCCAGGCTGGCCTTGAACTCATAGATATCTGCCTGCCTCTGCTGGGATTAAAGGGGTACCACACCACTGCCAGGCTAAAATCGTTTTAAATCATTAAATGTTAAGATTTTTTTTAATTTGACATTGGATATTAATCAATTTAAAATGTCTCAATTTTCATATCTTCAATATCAGTATATCCTTGGTTTTTAGCTTATATTTTTCAAGAAATATTTAAACATTTACTTTACGAAGCTTTGAGACTGTAGCTTATGGATTAGATTTACAGTTGTGTAGTGGCTCATGCCTGTACTCCCACATTTGAAACAGAGGCAGGAGGATTGCCACAAGTTTGAGACTATCCTGGGCTACAAGGTGAGACAAAAAAAGAAAAAGAAAAAAGTTAAGTTAGGTTTGCTTTTTAAATTTTTTATTTTCATTATTATTATTATTGTTATTATTATTATTAGGTCTTTTTTTTTAGATACGGTTTTTCTGTGTGTAGGCCTGTCTGTCCTGGAACTCACTTTGTAGATCAGGCTAGTCTCAAACTCAGAGATCTGCCTGTCCCTGCCTCCCAAATGCTAGGATTGGTTATTTTTGTTTGTTTGTTTGTTCTAAGATTAATTTATTATTTATACAGTATTCTGCCTGCATGTGTACATCTGCACACCAGAAGAGGACACCATATCTCTTCGTAGATGGTTGTGAGCCACCGTGTGGTTGCTGGGAATTTTAACTCAGGACCTTTGGAAGAACGGCCAGTATTCTTAAGTTCTAGCCATCTCTCCAGCCCCCTTTTGTTTATCTTTTAAGATAGAATCTTACTGTATAGGTTGACTTTCTTGGAGCTTGCTATGTAGACCACCAGGCTGGCTTTGAACTCTTAGAGAACCATCTGCCTCTGCCTCCTGAGTGCTGGAATGAAAGGTTTGTACCACTGTGCCTCAGATTTGCAGCTTCTTTTCTTTTCTTCCTTTTTTTTTTAAAAGATTTATTTATTTTACATATATGAATGCACACTGCATGTACACCTGCATGCCAGATGAGGATATCAAATCCTAGTGGTGGTTGTGAGCCACCATGCTAGGAATTGAACTCAGGATCTCTGGAAGAACAGACAGTCCTCTTAACCACTGAACCACAGATTTGCATTTTCATAGTAATATTAAGAGTTAAGATATGCTTGATTCCTGTAAAGAGATTGGAAAGGAGAATATTGTATATCATTAAAAAAAAATTACAGGGTTAGAGAATGTATGGCTCTGTGTTAAAGTGCTTGCCTAACATTCATGAAGGCCTGGGTTCTAGCCACAGCACATAAAAACATTATCATCATCAACAACAAAAAAACCCAAAGCTCTGGGTAATGGCTCTTAGCATTGTAGAGATAGAGGCAGGAAGATCACTGCAAGTTTGAGGCTTATCTGGGCTGCAGAGTAAGTTCCAGATGAGTCTGGACTAGAATGAAGTCTTACCTCAAGAAAACAAACAAATGTATGTATGTATGTATGTATGTATGTATGTATGTATGTATGTATGTAT